CCGATCGGGCCCAAATTTTGTGTGGGACATCACATGACCCCAGGGAAGGTTTATGGATAGTAAAATTTTCAAAAATTTGCCTTTAACAAAATTCGATTTTTGAAAATTTAAAAATCCACGATTTTTTTTTTATAAAATCCGTGAATTTTTTGTTTTTTTTTTACAATGTATACAAAGAGAACATGTTTACATGGGAAATAAATTTGGCGCAAAGCGCCCTAAAAGCCTAGTATAATATAAAATAAATATATATTGTTATTTTAAAATTTAGGATTGAACAGGAAAAATATGACATGTATATTAACAATTCATAAAAATATTGCTTTTTTAATATTTGTGAACAGTTTTAACAATTTATAATTATCAAAGGAATTGAGTCTTTGTAACAAACTCTGATTTTCCAATACCTATATTTTTCCCACCTAATGGTGTAAACCATTGATATTTCAAACTTAGATTCTTTCATCTAACAGAATTCATAGTTTTAAATATCTAAGGTCTACGGCATTGGGTTGCAAAGATATAGAGATTAGAAAATCATAGTTTGTGACAAAGACTCAGTTCCTTTACAAAATATTCAGATTTTCCACATATTTATAATACACTAAATCAATGTTGAAATTAGTAACAAAATGTAAAACAATCACAAAAACCGAGTTAATGGAAAATATTTGACGTACAATGCACTGAGAAACTTTGCAACCTGATGGTGTAAACCTTTAATATTTAAAACTTTGACATCTCGGTCTAACAGAATTTATAGTTTAAATATGAAAGGTCTAACTCATCTGGAAGATATGAGGATTAGAAAATCAAAGTCTGTGGCAAGTGTTCAGTTCCTGTGTTAAAAATGAAAACGTGAAAAAAGTTCCAGACTGGATACAAAAGTATGATATTTCTTTAACCCTGATATTTAATGTAGGTATCATATTCGCTGTCAATATCTCCCCCTTATACCATCCTACTGTCTCTTGAGACTTTATAAAGGTTTGTCTTGAGAAAATAATAAAAAATCATTCTTGCATTCATTCAAATACGTTATACACTGCTGTACTTTTATTCTTTATAGATAGAACAACATGAAAAATTTACGCCAAAAAAACGCGAGGCTCAAAAATACAAAGGCTTAAAAAATCAAGTCGAAACGTCGAAGAAAAATTCTATTGGCTCAAAAAATGTACCCAAAAAACTTTTGAGTAGATTTGAACACAAAAAGTTCTTTCACCTGATTGATTTCTCTAGTCTTTTCTGAACCTCTTCATATTTCAGAGCAGTCTCCTGAATTTAGATAAATCACAAAAATGAACAATTTTAGAAGCAAAAACTAATAGCATACATCATTAATTAAGATTAATTAATAAAGACTTGGCCTTAAGGATTTACATACAAATTAGTTGGAAATTGTCAATAAATGGATATATTTACGAATATTTAGCTGTTCAAAAAAAATTAGGCTGTAAGTAAAGGGCATGTTAACGCAATTTCGACTGACTCCCATTAGCTGTGTGCCCGATTTACAACGAAAAACGTTAAAATATCATTACTTTTCTTTCTTAAAATTGAAAATTTCAAATTTAGTGTCTGGATAAAATTGATGTGCGGATTTCTGCGGCAGAGATTAAGAATGAAATTGAAAGAATTCAACATGTTAATTGGAGGTCACCTAATAAAACGTGCACAGTCCTTTAAAAGAAAAGTTTATCCTTGGTGAAGAGAAATATATTTTTAGATATCTCTTACTAATGTGACGTCATAAGGTAATCCAGCAGGCTGTCCTGTCTCACTCTCAGTCTGGTTTATCCAGGTTTTATAAACCTTAAAAGAATTCTTTAGCTATTTGGATAGAGTAAAAAAAACTATTAAGTTTATTTTTACCTCTACAGGTGAAACATTAATTTTAAGGTTCCGATCATCTAGAACTTGTTTAATTATTGGACCAAGTAACTGCCGGAGTAAATATCCTCCTCGCCCAGACCTAAACAACACAAACTATGATTTCACAAAAGTTTCCACAAAAAAAACAATCTTTGAAATCAGAGATTATTTTGAATTCATTCCTCTAGTTGTGGGGACGGTTTAGGAAATTAAAAAAAAATCCAAGAAGAGGAAAGGGAAGGAAAAGGTGAAAAATGTAGTGAACGATAATGTAAATTGTAAAGGGTAGGAAAAGGCAGTGAAGGAGAAGAGGAGAAAGGGAAAGTGTGGAAAGGAAAGGGTTATAATTAAGAAGGGGAAGATAAGTGCTGGGAAGATAAAGGTAAGGAAGGGAAGGAGAAAGTAAAGAAGGAGAACGTAGGAAAGAAGAAGGTATGAAATGGCAAGGAAGGGAAGGGTTATTTATTATTATTGTATATCATGTTTATAAGTTTTTATGTCACAATTTTGTGCGTAATACGAAAAATTACCTATTAATATCTTCCAGCCAGATTAAAATTCCTGAATTTTGTTAATAGAAACTTTCAAAACAATTGTGTTTTTAGAATACCTTTATAAATCATTATTCCACTGAATTTTATTTTGGTTAATTATAATTACATTGTTAATTAAGGGAGTGTTCACTTTTCTGAAATCACACATAATACCCAATATCCAAAAGCTTATCTTACTGCTCAAGGATGTTCCTTTTCTACGAAAAATTTCAACTAAAGCATAATGAACTTCATTTTAAACCTTATACTCTAGTATTTTGAAAAATGTGAACTCTCCCTTTAATCCCCTTTTAAAATCATGTTTACGATTAAATATTTTCCATTATTACGTTATTCAACCTTTGTACAAAAATCCGTCCCTCTTTCATGTGTTTAAAAGTAAAAATATATTTTTAGAATTTCTGGAACATTAATAAAGGTTGCACGTGGATATTGTTGAAAATATTATTTTTCTAGAACAATAATGTTGGTTTCATTCAGGGTGGCATAAAAACCCCAGCCCAAAAAATTAGTGGAAGAGTTTTAAGTAGATTTAATCATCTCTTAAATTGCCCCCCACCCCACAAAAAATGGTTAAAAAAACGGGCTTTATTCAACTCTGCTTAATATCCGCGCTCTAACAATAGAATTTGATTAAATTATTTTACACGTTACAAAATGTCGATTTTTTAATATAAGAAATAAACGGTTATTCTTTAGTATCATTAAAGTTTCTCACAACCTTTTTAGAGGCGGTTGTAATAAAGAAGATACCATTTGCAACTTTTTCTAACCTGTTATAGCTGACCACAAACTTGAGAACTAAAGGAGTATTCTTTACAATATCATCCAAACTCTGCACCTTGGTCTCTACCTCTTTCTGCAGAGCAGTTCTAAATATAAACGCATTATAAACTCTGCACTTTGGTCTCTACCGCTTTCTGCAGAGCAGTTCTAAATATAATCTCATTATAAACTCTGCACTTTGGTCTCTACCTCTTCCTGCAGAGCAGTTCTAAATATAAACTCATTATAAACTCTGAACTTTGGTCTCTACCTCTTTCTGCAGAGCAGTTCTAAATATAAACTCATTATAAACTCTGAACTTTGGTCTCTACCTCTTTCTGCAGAGCAGTTATAAATATAAACTCATTATACACTCTACACATTGGTCTCTACCTCTTCCTGCAGAGCAATTCTAAATATAAACTCATTATAAACTCTACACATTTGACTCTACCTCTTCCTGCAGAGCAGTTCTAAATATAAACTCATTATAAACTCTGCAAATTGGTCTCTACCTCTTTTTGTATAGCAGTTCTAAATATAATCTCATTATAAACTCTACACATTGGACTCTACGTCTTTCTGCAGAGCAATTCAATATAGACTCATTATAAACTCTACACATTGGACTCTACCTCTTTCTGCAGAGCAGTTCTAAATATAAACTCATTATAAACTCTACAAATTGGACTCTACCTCTTCCTGCAGAGCAGTTCTAAATATAATCTCATTATAAACTCTACACATTGGACTCTACCTCTTCCTACAGAGCAATTCAATTTAAACTCATTATAAACTCTACACATTGGTTTCTACCTCTTTCTGCAGAGCAATTCAATTTAAACTCATTATAAACTCTACACATAGGTATCTACCTCTTCCTGCAGAGCAGTTCAATATAATCTCATTATAAACTCTACACATTGGTACCTCTTCCTGCAGAGCAGTTCAATATAAACTCATTATAAACTCTACACATTGGTCTCTACCTCTTCCTGCAGAGCAGTTCAATATAAACTCATTAAAAACTCTACACATTGGTCTCTACCTCTTCCTGCAGAGCAGTTCTAAATATAATCTCATTATAAACTCTACACATTGGTCTCTACCTCTTCCTGCAGAACAATTCAATATAAACTTATTATAAACTCTGCACATTGGACTCTACCTCTTCCTGCAAAGCAATTCAAAATAAACTCCTTATAAACTCTGCACATTGGACTCTACCTCTTCCTGCAGAGCAATTCAATATAAACTCCTTATAAACTCTACACATTGGTCTCTACCTCTTCCTGCAGTGCAATTCAATATAATCTCATTATAAACTCTGCACATTGGTCTCTACCTCTTCCTGCAGAGAAATTCAATATAAAATCATTTAACTCAGTCAATACAAGCGCGCTCTGCACTTTGGTCTCTACCTCTCTTTCTGCAGGGTCTCAAGTGTTTCAAATAGAATAAACACTTAATTATGATAATATGGCCGAAACACATATTTAGATGGCCCAGCAGGTGTTATGTTTTCTTGGGAAATAATTCTGTAACAAATCTAGACGCTAATTCTCTAACGATTACTTTACTCAAAGTCTAATGAGATCATATTTAACTAAATCTCTAGCCAAAACTTAAAGCTCTCTATCTCTAGCCAACACTCAAGGCTCTGTATACGTCCGTTCTAATCAACAAATGATATTCAACTAATTTATTTATAAACAGGTAAAATGAAAACTGACCGGGCTAGCCCGGCTGGGTCAATATACAAATAATTAAGATAGTAATATTATTAGTACAGATATCAAATTAGAATTGCACATCATTGTAGAATACACTTCACATCCCCGGAGGGGGGATTG